ATGCGGGCCTCTCCCGTTGTGGAGCACAGGCTCCGGACACGCAGGCTCAGCGGCCATGGCTCATGGGCCCAGCCGCTCCGCGGTATGTGGGATCTTCCTGGACTGGGGCACGAACCTGTGTCCCCTGCATCGGCAGGCGGACTCTCAACCACTGTGCCACCAGGGAAGCCTCCAACGTTTATTTTTAAAAGCTTTGTTTTTTAAACCTTTCATATTAAGGTCTACAAGCCATCTGGGAATTATTTATGTGCATGATATGAGGTAGAGGTCAAGATTAATTCTTTTTTTCTTTTTTTGGAAAAGTCATATTTTTCCTACTCTACTGCAGGGTTTTCTTTGTCATAAGTCAGTAATTGTATCTATGTATTTCTTGCCTCTCTTTTAGTTCATTGGTCTCTTTGTTTATCCTTGTGTCAGTGCTACACTGCTTTAATTGTTGTAGCTTTAAAATAAGTATTGACATCTGGTAGTGTAAGTCTTCTAGTTTTGTTCTTTTCCAAGGTTTCCCTAGTTGGCTTTTTGTAATCTATTTAAATGTTAGAATGAGTTTGTCAGTTTCTACAAAGAACCTATAGGGATTTTGAATGGGATTGCATTGAATTTATAGATCAAATTGGGGAGAAATGACATATTTACTATAGTGAGTCTTCTAGTTTATGGGTGTGGTCTGTTCCTCCATTTATTTGGGACTTTAAGAAATATTTATTGCTAACATTTTGTACTTTTCTGTAAAATTTTATACATATTTGCATTATTTTTAGATATTTGATTTGGTTGCTATAAATGGTACCACTTTAAAAATTTTATTTCCTGAGTTTTTTATATATAAAAATACTTGATTTTTATATTTTGACCTGTTTTTTTCAGTGACCTTGGTAAATCCACTTACTAGTTTTGATAATTTGCTTGTGAATGTTTTTGGAATTTCTACATATACTATACAATGAGATACCATTTGCAAAGGCTCAACATCCCTCCTAACCCCCCCTCCCACCCCACCCTTTATTGCACTGGTTAGAACCTCCAACATAATGTTGAATTGAAATGGTGATAGAATTTTAGGAAAATTTTAATAGCTCACCATTAATATTTGTGTGTGTGGATATGTGTGTGTGTGGGGGTTGTAGATATTTTTCATCAGATTAAAGAAGTTCCCTTTTACTTTATTTGCTGAATTTTTGTTGTGAGTGAATGTTAATTTTGTTATCAAACGCTTTCTCTACATTTACTGAAATGATTAAATTATTATTTCTGTTAGTGT